CTAGAGTGCCGTACTCAGACACCGAGTAAGAAAATGGACATGTAGATCATATTTACTGCCAGCTCTGTACAAATAGCATAGATGAGAAGCTAAACACTAAACCTAAAATATATTTGAAATTATACATTTACAAAGAGTTTTAAGAAATATACATTATTTATTATGAAAGATAAATAAAAATAAAAATAATAATCATTGGGATTTAAAAAAAACAAAAAAAAACACGATGCGGTTTCTGACCAATCAGAGCACTTTAGAACTCATGACATAGAACTTGGCTCATGCACCTGCCACTTCACTTCAAACCTTTTGAGAGCGATTTTGATTGGTGACAGTTGGCAAACTTTTTATTCGACATTCGTGGATTAAAACCATCAAACTCAAACATGGATTGTAAGAAGACGAAGAAGAGGACCATTGAAGAGGTAGAAAGCAGAGGAAGAACACAACAAAAAGAAGACAACAAGGACAGTGACATCAGGAAACAGCTACAGGTGAAGAAAAGGAAGAAAGAAGAACATAAAGATGAAGAAGGAAAACAACGCGCGAGTGAAGAGGAAATTAATGAAGAAATCAGCGACTCTCCAGAAGATCCAGGCCCATCTTTGGATTCATCTCTTTCACTGGAGAGATTTACATTCCACCGACTGCTTGGCAAGGGTGGCTATGGAAAGGTACGCAATTTGTGAAATATCCATTTACACAGCAGATTTGTTATTTTTACAAAAGAAACAGAATGTTTTTGGGGTGATGTTATTGAACACATTATTGATTAATATAATTCTCAATAATTGGTTATAGGATGTAAGAGTACACCCTTGTCAAATCATTGAAAGATTTATATTTGAAAGTTTAAACATGTGATTTGTCTCTGATTGAGGTCACTTAGTTTCATCTATTGCTGGTTTTAACTTGAAAATATATTAATATATTCTGTTTGCTCCCCTGTAACATTGAACTTTATGTCAATTTATTTTAACATCAATGAGAAAATTTACTGAAAAATTAGATTCAGAGATGGTTATAAAACCTATTCTGTTGTTTAGATAGGGTTAGGTGAGTAATAACAGCATAACCCTGTGTAACATTACAAATTGGACTAGCACTGGTATAATTAAGACCAGACCTGCCCCCCATTCTTTCATTTATTGTTATTTTTTTGTTACACGTTTTTATTTTTAGCACATTTTTTTATCCATTATTACTTTGTGCAAATTCTTTAACTATTTTACTAATAAAATTGTATTTAAAATATCTTCTATTTAAGAATAATTTTTTTAATTGGTTGTAATCTCAGTGACATCTGCCTCCCCCCACTTTTCAAGTCGGAGGTCCCACCTTCCCATTTTGTATCTAATTTATTTTAAGATTAGTTCTATGGGCAGTGCACAGTATTGAAAATCAAACAAGGTTATTATTATTATTATTATTATTGGCATTTATATAGCGCCAAGTAATTCCGCAGCGCTTTACAATATTATGAAAAGGGGGGAAATGTACAATAAATGAGACAATTACACAGTAACACAGGAACAATAGGTAGATGAGGGTTAATTCACTAAACAGTTTGTAATGTGATGAATTATACAAATTAGGATAAAGTAGACCTTCACCCATTTTAACCCAAATAATATTGCCTTCTCAATTCACATAAACATACTTTTTGGTGAATAAATTCCATATTCCATATTTCTTACATGTTCCTCTGTTGGATATTTAATTGTCATTTAGTTAGTAGTACTGGAAATTGATAGTGTTTGTTGTGATTTTTCACTGTAATTATGGCCAGTTTAATCCACTCCAACTGTCACTACAATTGCTACTTCCTGGTCACATGACCTGATAGGAATGATGGACATTCTCAAAGCTATAGTAGGATAGCGAGAGATACATTTCTACTAAATGTCAATGGAAACTGTATCACAGTCTATTGTTATGAAAACTGAATTATTTAAGAAAACATATACAATGCTTATGTTTCATGGATTGTATAAATAGAAGTGCAATAGAGGATCTTTTCACATTTTGAAGATTTAATAAAGCTTTATAGAATATACTTCATTACATACTACAATACACAGGAAGTTACTGTGTTAATTATGTAATTGTACAATGGGTCACCCAGTTAATACTGTATCATGTAAATCATTTTGGTCTCTGTTAAGAACCAATGCACTGGATTCTCTTTTTGTTTGTGCTATAGCTTGTGCTGTTATTTGTGCTTTTGCTGTGTATTTTCTAAAGCTGATGTGCGCAACTATAATAAAAATATTCTGTTCAAGTACAGCAATATTCTCTGTGTATGTAAAAAAAAATAACAAAATTATATATATATACACACTCAAAGTAGTGCACTCACTGGTCTTCTTAATTTGCAAACTTTATTAACCAATGTTCAGTAACTTTACCATATCATCAACGTTTCGGTCCTCATCCGGACTAGGACTGAAGTGTTGATGATACGGTAAAGTTACTGAACATTGGTGAATAAAGTTTGCAAATTACGAAGACCAGTGAGTGCACTACTTTGAGTGTATGTATTGTTAAAAGGCTGGAGGAGCACCGTAGCAAGTAAAACTGAAGAGTGAGTGGATTTGTGAGTGGTCTGACATCATATTCAGGCTCCCGGCATAACTAAGCAATGCGAGGGAGCTGAGCAGTAAGCCCGCAATAAAAGCTGCCGCCCGTCTCGCGTGGGCCCCCCAGAACACGAGGCTAACAAGGCAGTGCCGCCCAAGGCAAATGCCTTGTTAGCCTCGCGGTGAATACACCGCTGGGCACCCTACCAGTGACCTATGGTAGCATGCCCACAGAGAGGGCTCATGATATGCCATTAGAATGCTAATCTGATACATAAGCTTCAATCAGCCATATCTGGTACAGACTTCAGTAAATAAACAGGACAGGGATTGGATTTGTGCACAACTACTCTGTTGTGTTTTTGATCAAGTTAGGTGTAATGAGACCAAAGGGCATATTAAAGATAGTTTAAAGGAGAAAGGCTAAAAAACAAAATAATAAAGTATTTTACAAGATATGTCTGTGATATAATAACCACACAGTAGGTTTCTTAAAGGGAAACTATAGTGCCAGGAAATCAAAGTTGTTCTCCTGGTACCATAGCTCTCCCCTGCCTCACAGCCCTCACCCCCTGTGCTGCAGAAGGAGTTAAAGCCCTACTGTCACAATGTCGGTGCTGGTTTGGGTTTGCCTCTGTTCCTCCCCTGCTGACGTCATCCGGCAGGGGAGACCTAAAGCGTATGCACGGCAATGGCCATGTTTGCATTAGTATTTCTACCATAGGGGGTTTAACATGACACTGGATGTCCTCATTCATAGCCTGAGGACGTCCAGAGTCAGTTAGGCGACCAAATGTCACCTGATGACACGGAAGTCCCTCTAGTGACTGTTTGGTAGAAAATCACCAGAGCTGGAGTTTACCCTCAAAGGTAATTATTGTAGTTTATTAAAGGACCACTATAGTGCCAGGAAAACATACTCGTTTTCCTGGCACTATAGTGCCCTGAGGGTGCCCCCACCCTCAGGGACCCCCTCCTGCCGGGCTCTGGGGACAGGAAGGGGTTAAACGCTTACCTTTCTCCAGCGCCGGGCGGGGAGCTCTCCTCGTCCTCTCCACCTCCTCTTCGGCTGAATGCGCATGCACAGCAGGAGTTGCGCGCACATTCAGCCAGTCTCATAGGAAAGCATTCATAATGCTTTTCTATGGACGCTTGCGTCTTGAAATACGCAAGCGTCTCTAGCGGCTGTCAATGAGACAGCCACTAGAGGCTTTAGAGGCTGGAATAACCTATTAAACATTGCAGTTTCAGAGAAAAAATGGGTTAACCCTAGCTGGACCAGGCACCCAAACCACTTCATTAAGCTTCTGAAAATTCTGAAAGCCTTTTTATTTACGTGTCATCCAGGTCTTCCTGGCATCGGATAAAACAACGAAGAAGGTGGTGGCTTTGAAAATAGTGAGGAAGAAAGACCTTCTCACTGAAGCCTCAGACAGGACACTCACTGAACGTCGAGTGCTGGAGATGGCAGCCGGAAGTCCTTACCTAACCAAAGCCTATGGAGCGTTTCAGATCCCGGTAATTCCTTAATGGTCATAAATCAACTTTCTATTAACAAACCAACCAGCAATATATCTGCAGATGTTTGCTTTAAATTTTCTGTGGCAAATTGGTTTCTAACCAATATATACCAAAGAAAAAAGTTACTTGTGCACTATGCATATTATAAACTCTCTTATAAAACCTCTTGTGTGAATCCTACACTAAAAATTCACCTTCCTGTCTTCAACTAACAGGTAAAAATCTCTAATGAGACAAAAAAGGGTATTTTTCCAAAGACTTTTGAGTGATACTAAAAAACCTCCAGTTATTTAAATGTCCATAGGGATTTGGGATAGTGAGCAAGTAACTTTGTAACTTTGTTGCTTTGTTTTTTTATTGTATGTATTGGGGCTGATGGGTACCATAGTCATTGCTGCTGCCAGGAGTAGTGGGCGTTTAAGCACAGGGCTTGATTTTGTATAGTTTCTAACCAATACCTAGCTCGTTCAGTAACTCATTGCTATCCAAATATAGAAAGATTAGCAACTCATAATTAGAAAGAGTAATTTTTGCATTATCCATTAGGCTACACATGGAATGCTCAAATTTGTACTTATTTTGTGCTTTTTGCATATTTCACTATTTTTTAAACATTTCTTTCAAAGTTTGCAATATTAATTGTGTGTGCTATGTATTTTGTTAACTTGATGTGAATGGCAGTTACGGTACTAGAGAGATGCTCAGTCCCTTAAGCACTAAAAGTGCTGAACTCTCAAGTGCAGAGGGATTGCTAGATTCTTGGCACCAGTGACACTAATAAAAGCGGCAAAGGAATGTTCCATCTCTCAGGAACAAAGAGAATCAGCACACTCAACCCTAGGAGTTGTTGCACAGGGTTCTCAGGTCAGTTTCAATGCAGAGGATCATGTTTGTGCTGGCAAGAACAAAAATTATGTTTCAATGCACCAATCTCAACGTGATGCCTAAACGCTATAATTTAGTATTTGCCAACATTTTGAAATCTTGCACTTTGTTTGAAGTTTCGATATTTCAAAACTTAGGTGAAGAATTGCAGTTCGATATTTCAAAGCTAAGGGGAAGCAAAAAATGATTGCGTATTTGCCTATTCAGGAGTGATCACTGGTATCTACAAATTTACTGTTAGAAAACATCTAATGTCAGTTTTGGGTTGCATTCTGAATTATCTGTTAT